GCAGAGGTCATCATGGTGCTCTGGAGCAATTGAAAGTCTCTGATATGCTGACAAAAAAGAAAGCAGAGAGACGAGTGAGAAGGAGAAAGGGAGGTCCTTTGGCCACTTGTGGCCTTCACAATGCAGGCACAAATCATAGAGGGACATAGCAATTGGAGTGACAGATGAACAATGCTCCTATTTTCTAACCCCCTGTGAACAGGCCCATCCATCACAGCAGGGGAGATTAATTCAATTCATCAGCTTTTTGTCTCCTTGGGCCCCCTAATGCCAACTGATATTGCTCAAGGAGGATCTATAAATGTTTGTGGGTTTGATCTGTGCTCACTTGCTTGACACTGAATTAAAACATTACTCTTTACCCTTAGCAGTACACAAGCTTTGCCAACAGCCACTTTTCCCATAATTCTCTCCAAGATTAATTTGTATGTGGTTGAAAATGTTTGGGGGGCACTAGCAACTCCCCACAGTAGAGATTTGGTAACATGGAGTGGTTGGTTATAAAAGAAAATACTTGAGGTTTCACATTCACTTATGACAAAGAACTGAAAGCACCTGCATCAACAGGGAATCGTTTCAACTGTGTTGTAAAGCAATACAAGGCTTTTGGCGAGTTAGTGTTAAACTTAAAAAAAAATAAAAATTTAAATAATGGTCCATCTGTTATGTTGGTTGACCAGGGAATACTTTAGTTTACATCTTTAAATGTACATTATGCAGCAATAAAAATCTACATATGCCATCAGCTGATGATAGGGATTCCTTTTGATTGAACTCTACAATTTAAAAGCCTAGCCATTATGCAACGTTATCCAAAGCCACACCAAGGTTCGCAAGATAACAAAGAACAGTGCCAGCATGCTCTGATGGGCTAGTTCAATGGTGAAGAAATTCTGTCCTTGAAAGCCACAGCATGAAGAAGAGTGATGACATCTAGTGGCCACCATGTTAACTGCCATAAAATATCAAATGCAGAAATAGATGTAGGTGTCAGGTTCGGAAGAGCGTCGTGGGGGGGGGGGGGACATTAAGTGAAGACTGCTGGTTATATTGTTGAATACCATTACTCACTTCAATATTTGCCAAGAATCACCGAGCTGAAGAGAATTCGGATTTTTAGGGCAAACATTTTAATGCACACAGCTCAAGATCACGTCACAATATTGCCAGTCAAGTATAAGTCTTCTGAGGCTGATAGTGAATCCTGCCTCCTCTCCAGACACACATGTAATAGGCTGTGCCCAGAGATCCCACCAGAGACACCAGCAGGATGACCGTCACCAGGACAATTTTCCACACTTTTGAGTCTTTAACTTCTTCATTAGAACCTAATGGAGGGGAACAAGTAATTAGGAGACAATCATGTTCTAGCATTACTTTGAAAAATATTTCATGAAATTTAACAAAGATAAATACACACACCTTGTTCCAACACAAGATACGACTCTGGAGTGGTTTGAAAGTTCTGGTGCTCATCCGTCACCCAAGAACCTTCTGAGGAGTTTTCAGGTGACATGTTGTCCTCTATCAATGGTGAGTCTCCATTTGTGTCATAGTCCAAGTTGTCATTCATAATCCAGCGGCCATGGTCAAATTTAGGGTTATCTAGGAGTGTTCATATGTGAAGAGTACCAAGGTGTAAGAAAATAAAAACCAGCAGCAGAACTGATGACAACTGATCTTGACTCATAAAGATACAGCTCTCCTTAACATTTGCAGACAGATACTTCCATGCTTACCTGACCAAACAGCTGTAAGAGCCAGAAGCGCTAAACACACCAACTGAAGCACAAACATGACTGTTAGCACCAGAGTGTGTCTGCCCTTTGCTTTTAATTGCGGTCCCTCATCAGTTAAATTGGTATCAGCTGTGCTGTGACTTAATCAAGACTAATCACGGCAAATATGCTCCCATGACACCAGAGGGACATGGTGTCATGGCCTTATGAGCTTTTCAGACATATATCTCAAAGTCTCACCTTTTTTTCTCTCATTTGAGCAGTAAATAATACATTGAATGAATAAAGAGTTGATGTACACGGTGCCTTGGATAGTTTGTTCCTACTGGCTCTAAAATTTCAGAAATGTGTTCCTGTTTAAAGACATGCCAGAAAAGAACGTTGCTGGCGTTTTAACAAAAATTAGAACCACAAGTCAAATTCTCATATATTGTTTATTTCAGTACAGTTTCAGATGTCTAGAATATGAGAATTGCACAAATGCCCACTGTAACAAATGGAGCTTTGACAAAAATGAGGTCGCTGTCACATCTGAGAGAGAATCTGCGAGCAACAATAAATCACACAGAGTTTGGTGTTTTGCAGTTTCCATTCAGTTAGGACCAGAAGCATGACTCACTCTGACAGCCATGTTCAAAAGTGAACTGTTCCCTTTTCTTTACAGCATGCAGTTCAAACAGAGGGACGTTCAGATTGAATAGGACTAAGGAAGCAGCAATAAACTTTGCTGTGGTAGACATCACAGCAGCCATCACTGGTGACAATAATTGTGGCTGCTCGGGCTTGAAGCCCGTTTCCTGTTATGACTAATCAAACTCCTTTACTCTGAACTGCTGGTGTCTCATTTGACTGAAAATTACACACACACATACACACAGAGAAGAATGCAACATGTTTTTCAAAAAAATCCCCTCAAAACAAGTGCATATTAAATATGTGACAAAACATATTGGTGCATGGGTTTTATGGCTTCTAAATCAGCAAATCTCTTCATGACAAAGAGAAAACGGTGTAAGACGAACTGATTAAACAAAACCTGTCAATGATGATCCCTCTTAATATGTTCCCCGCTGCCTTCTGGTAACAGCTCATCACTTTTCCCTTTTTGTTTCACGAACATTTGAAAGACACATCGCTTTATTTTTTTATGTGGGGAACAATCTGCTATTCTGACCTAATTTTTGCACCATGTGTTTTTTTCCTTGCATAGCAATTCCCTTAAATCCTCACAGAAAATACTTAATTGCCTAACATTCAGCAAATTCCACAGTTAATGTGCTTGTCTGCATAGATAATGCACTGGCCTTCACAAGTATTTGAGAAGTGCAACATCAGATTTAATATGTCTGCACAGTGGAGAGTCTTACCTCATATGAATCAAACACAAAGCTGCTCAGTGTTCAGGAGTTTTCAAATTCAAATTCCCAATGTCTGTTTCTTTTTTCCCACCTGTTACTAACAGTACAGTGTATATACCCTATAAACTACTAAATATACTGTCTCTCTTTAAAGTGGGATCAAAAGCTCCTCACATGGTGCAGTAAAGAGAGCTGAAATTATTTTAATATATATATATATATACAGCATGAAAATATAAAGTAACATCTGCTGTTCGCTCAACAAAATGATGCACATTTTATATATGTATGTATATAAATATATATATATCACAGTGTATTTAAGCTGATAAACTAACCGTATTGCGTTTACTGGTTTTACAGAAACTTTCCTTTTCCAAGAAAGGAGAACTTTCCTTCTAAAAATTTAATTCAGGTCAAGTTAAGAACTTGAATTTAGATTATGGCAAAATGGCTTTTCTGGCATAATCACAGAACCGCTGAGGATGACTGACAAAAAGGTCAGATATTAGACATTTAGAGATAAAAATGACCCACCTGAGGACAACACATGAGGTGATGTTACTGACTAATTAACCTGCCATAGAAAAAAATATAAATTCTAAGTTTTAAGTGAAATGCTTATACGTTATGCTCATATGTGAACTTGCGATACAACTCAGTTTCCCCTGAGAGGGTCCGATTTCAGCATCCCCAGACGATGTTCCACACAGCAGGATTTCACATCCAATATCTGAATTGAACATTCACTGAATATGAAATCCTGCTCCTTTACACAGCATCTGGGTAATGCACACATTGTTTACAGAATGGACTGGCTTCTTTCCAGGCTGGAACAGTCTGTCCCGTGTGATCCCGCTTTATTTGTGCTTTTCCTCCTCATTGTAGAGCTTCCGGAGGCTCGAGTCTAGCAGGAAATCCACCGACCTATGAAGTATGAAGAGCGGCAGTGTTAGACACATGATGCATTACTTCTAAAACTATTTCATAAAACAGAAGCCGTGCGGGGCACACTTTATCTTTAGATGTCAGTGGTTTGTACTAGTGTCCATCAATCTGTGACAAAGGCAGTTTTATGTTTTCTTATGTTATGTGTTTGTTTTTCGTTTAAGAGAATCCCTGGAAATAAGAAAAAGTGAGCAACAGCTGCCACTGCTCCATCTCTCTTATGAAAAGGCTGAACTCTGTATTTGTTCGCTGATGTTTTCTCCACATGGAGGCTTACCTTCTTAACTACAAACCAAACCTTTCACATATTTTAGCATCGCTCAGTAAAAGCGGCTTCTATAATCATGTCCCATAACAGAGAACACACACAGTACGGCTTGTGCGAACCTGTCTATCGGAGTGATGATGAAGGGGATGGTGGACAGGCCGATGGCCGTCGTGGTCCACTTGCGAACGGGCAGGGGCCACTTGGTGGTCTTGCCCAGCAGGTAGAGCGAGCCGGCACACACACGGTTGATGGTGAAGCCCGGGATCATCACAGAGGCCAGGGCCTGCCACACAAAGGTGTCCACCACTGCTGCCGCCACACGCGTTGTTTTCCCTGGGTTTTCTCCGTGGGCCTTGAACAGGTGGAGGGTGAAAAAATGCTGGGTTACCGAATGGTTCTAAAGGTCACTGGATGCACAAACAAAGAATACAGAGAATAATTAAAAGGTAATATCTTACCAAAGCTGCCTTCTTCCCTTTGTCCACTGCATCAGCAGTGACATATGCAGTGGCCACAGCATAGCTGCCCCACACCAAGCTCACCGGCACCAGAGCACGAAAAGCCTCCCCGACCTCATTGGCATAGCCTGTGGGAATCAATACACAGATGCAGATAAGCCTTCAACCTTCTTTGTCTCCTCTAAACGCAATGCATTAGCCACCCTGTAATCAGATGCTACGTCTCTGTTCTATAACCCAAACCATTAGAGGAATACTTTTAAAAGAAAAACTCAGTTAGTGCATTTGGCATTCAAAAGCTGTTTGTCTCTGACCGCAGAGCGACAAGCCGCATGGTCCGTCTTTCCATTTTTCAGAGTCCGGTTTGCACAGGATGAGACTCACGAGGAGCTACTGATCCTCAGCAAATAATGGAATGTTCATTCATTTAGAGCGGAATGACCAGAATGTCCTTGATCCCCTATGAGGAGGTCACCTGTGCCATATGTCCCAGAACGTGTGCGTGGCAGGTACACCTGACTGCAGGCACACGGGGAGCAGCGCTTTTGCTTCAATGACAACGGAGGCAGCAGAGCGTGGCGGAGTCAAATTCTGCTGCCGCTGTAAGAAGCCATCATGAGTGCTGCTGCCAGCACTAACTGAAGCAGCATTTAGGAGACGCTGCATTTTGGTAAAAAAGGAATCCATGTCACAGCCTGTATTACTGCTCAGCAGCAGTTTCCCAGCTTCCACATTCTCATGCAGATTGTATGGATCCACATGGCAATACGGTGAACACTGCCTGATAACTCATAAATCAGAATTCAGATAAAAGTTTTGTGATATTTACTCAGAACTAGTTTTGAATGAAACATGATGAGCATTAGATCCATCTGTTCTATTCACGTGATGCTCTGTTGTTGCCCGTTACGTCATTTGAGCTGCCAAACTGGATTCTCCCCCAGATTTAGGGCCACACTCACAGCTGCAACTACAACACAAAGCATTCATGTGCTTTGCATTTCCACAGTTAGTCTGCAGGTGATAATGAATCTGTTTCTGGTGTCTGATGAGCACACTGGTATAGAAATGTGTGGTCTGATGCCATCTGCCTTCAGATCGTGGTTACAGCACCAATATTTGCCATCATTTGAATGCATTTAGCTCTCAGAAAAGGAAACACAAAAAACCTCAATCACAGGGTTTTGTTTACAGCATGTATCAGATAAGTCTTTCCGTCAGCAATAACTTTCCTTTTGATACTAATACCAAATTAATTCTGTGTCTATTAAAGCAACTTAAATGCCATCTTAAAGGATAATAAGTGATAACTCTAATAAGCAAACACTTTTCCTTTGCAAATATGAACATATGGATTCACACAATCCTTTTCTGGCTGACTTTCTAAGAAATTAGTAAGGAAATATCTGCAAGGAGTCCAGAGTAAATGTGGCTTTTCCACGCTCTGTTTCATTTCAATGCAGTGTTAAATGCATGGCTTCCATTTGCTTAGCAGAGCACCTCAGCAAAGGTCTTGAAGAGTCAATTATTCCCTTTAATCGAAGGATACAAACTATTTAATACAATGCATTGCTTTTTAAAAAAAATGGTCAGCATCGATTGCCCCCACCCCTTGCTCCTAAAAACAAAGCTAATATTATTGCCGTGTAGACACCTGCTAAATATGTAGTATTCTTTTTTTTTTTAAACATGACAAAGAGGTCATAGTTGTGCTATTTTTCCAAATAAAGTTATATATACTGCAGCAGAGCCCAAATCACTGAAAAGGCTGCATGAATTTCAGCTACAAGCAGTAGGTTTATGGTTTCCACAGCGATAAGAGCTTTATTTGTATAATGATGTCTGATAACAAAGGGAGCAGAGATAGGATCCTCCACCACCAAAGCATTTAACTACTGTGAAGATTTGACATCCTTTTGTGTAATAAGGCACCTCGTTCTTTACTTAAAAGCTGTGTTAGCATGTGTAGAAATCATGTGAAAGCTAGGAGAAACCATAGAGAGTAGAGATTCGCGCACAGAAAAAGAGAGTGGTGTGATGATAGACAAGTTAAGGGATTTTCCATGACAATAAAATATTATTAGACAAGGCAAGAGGCTGTGGTATGCAGCCATTTTATTTACTGAAAATGAATTTAGCCAATCCTCCAATACACTCAGAAATACTGTTTTAGTCTAAGACTGAGGAATGTCATCTTTTCCAAAACAGTAAATTAATTATGTTTGACTGGCTTCAGGTGGGTAGTTAAGTTGGTAATGGTATGTTCAGGTGGTGTTAGGAGAATTTAAAAATCTAAGTTTGGCATTAAAATATGAAGTGTCATTACACAGCATAATGTCGATAAATAGAACCTCGATATTTAAACTGATCTGTTTGGCTTTTTACCCACTCATAGGAACACCACTTTTAAACTTAGGTAACACAAATGGGTTGAAACGTAAAATTAGAAACAGATTAAGAACATCCCTAGAGTAGAAATGGAGATAATCCTGTACGGGCAAGATTTAAACTGGGGACAAATAGATTATGATTTTATGAGGCGGATAAACTGATTCACATGACACTACACGCTTACAGTTCCCCAGAGGAGGTCTGTGAAAGAGGAGGAGGCATAAGCCCACGGAGGGGTGCCCTTCAGAGGGGGCACACAGCCTGCCCTTCCTCAGCTCCCGGGCTGATCGACTCCAGTGTTAAAGCCACACCAACCAGGGGGCAGCTAATACAACAATTTATCTGTTACACTATCACAGCCTTGACTCAACTTGAGTGAGCTCATGCCTTTGGGTTTTTCTTTGTGGTTGTGAGTCACTCCCTCAACTTGCTCAACAACTGTGCTTACCGAAGGAGGAACTACAGGGACAACTCTACCCTACGCACACAGTAGTTTTTGAGCATAAATGAGAAAAGCCATGAAAAGCCTAGGTTACATATCATTGTAGGACACCTATAACGTCTTATACTAGCAAAATGTCCTTCAACACCCCTCAAAGGTGAAGTTTGCTATTATTGGACATGTTTGAAGCTGATATGCTATCTCCTCGTGAGCTAGCTCAAACCTCAAACCTCCGCAGTCAGGACAGTTCCGGTGTACTCCTGACGTGTTCTGTACAGATAATAATCCTAAAGGGAGCGCCTTGCCCACGATAAGAGTTTTTTTTAAAAAAATACGTACCCAAGAAACGAACCCATGTGTCACGATAAATGTCGATCGCTTTGTCTGTTTTGGCTTCACTTGGTTCCATACTTCCCTCTACTCCATCCCACAGTGATGTTCGGAACCTCGCGCAGCGTATGACGAAGCCGACGGCCGGAGGGGACCGTGAAGGGGGCGTGGCTGCAGCAGCCCGAAGCTGGACCGGCCAATCTCGGAGGGCATCGGCAGCATAGTCCGCCCAAAAGCAAAACACAATTATCATGCGAAGAACATTTTTTAAAACAAATGTGGGTATTTAGAGGGAAATGCTTCACATTTGCATTAAAAAATCATAAAAAATGGCCCACTTGATCATTTATTTTAGTTGTAGTTTTATCTATTTAACACAATCCTCTTTCAAAAGTATTGATATGAAAGTTTATTTAAATTTAATTCATTTCAAATTCCTCATTTCAATCGAACTAATTCGCCCTGAACAGAGTGCACAGATAAATGGATTTAGAAAAACAATACATTAAAAAGGATGAGCTTGTATTATGAGAGTATAGAGTGTGCAGGCCTTACGGGAACAGTGTGCCGTAAATCGTGAATATTAGGTTATTACAACTGTATATGATCTCGTAATAAAGGGCTATGTACAACACTTTAAACTTCAATTTACTATATCCAATAATAGGCACGTTTCCCGATTGACAAAAATGGTAACCAATGATAGTGACCAATGTTACAAGGTGGCCAGTAGGAGAGGAGATGTCTATTTGTGGAATGAATTTTGACCCACCATGGCCGCCGTATGCAGCAGTCAGCGGTACAGCCGCTCCAAATCATCGTCCTGTGTACATTTCAGAAGAGGGACAATGCCTTTTAAATTGTGTTTGACTTTTATAGCTCTTTTTCTAACTAAAAATCAGTGTTTTGCCGACGATGATCACGAAATGGAAGAGTTTCTGAAGCGGGAGTATTCTCTTTCCAAGCCTTACCAAGGTATCATTCGTACAGTAGCAGTGGCGGACGGGGGGCAGGCAAGAGGACAGATGTTTCCAGAATGATGCCTTTAGCATTCAAAATCACCCAGTGTTCGACTTGGTTTTGCCATCGGATTACTTTTTCTGTCCTTTTAATGTGGTCTTTTTCGTGATTCTGTTCTGTCTTAGGCTGTGACCTGCAGCTGTCATGTTTAGGACTCTGACAGTCTGTGTAAAATGTATTTTTAATCTACAGTCCCTCTTTCACCTTTGATGTCTTTATTTCTTCTTTTTACATCACTGAGCTCTTTAGTTTAGTGACTAGAATGAGCTGTGGTGTCTGGTTTCTCTTGCTGTCAGGTCTTCCTTCATAGTTTGGAGTAACCACATTGTGATTTGTGGTCTCAGGTGTGGGATCTCTGAGCTCCTCCCACTGGGAGCTGATGGGGGATGCCATGGTAACCACCGACCAGGTGCGACTCACACCCGACAAGCAGAGCAGACAGGGGGCGGTGTGGAGCCGTATTGTGAGTATTTTGTCATGATGTTACATTTATGTAGGCCTATAAATGCATGTGGGTCTGTCAGTTGAAGAAGGATACGTGTTGATCTTATCTGTTTTGGGCCACACCACAGCAAAGTGGGACCAAACGCACAAACATGACGCATTCAGTTTATGTTATTTTGCCTACCGGGCTGTACATAACAAACTCATTTGTTCATTCTAATTGAAAACCCCTCCATGGAGCAGCTTAGGTGTTGTGTCTTGGTGATGCTGCCAGGCTAAAAAAGAGCTGTCCTATTGAGATTAAAAGCCTTGAATTAGTCTGATATACTGGAGTCAGGTCCTATGAACCACACAATGCTGCTTCACATATTGTTTTTGTCTGTATTTGTGGCACGTTGTGTACTTTTCTGGTTTTGTTTTGCTTTGTTTTTCTAGCCATGCAATCTGAAGGACTGGGAGATGCAGGTACACTTTAAGATTCATGGACAAGGCAAGAAGAACCTGAACGGCGATGGGATGGCCATCTGGTACACTAAGGAGCGAATGCAGAAAGGTAGAAAAGATCTGACATAACGGTCGTTAATAGCCGCGTTTACATCGGTTTTTATGTTACTAACAGCTGTCTTCTCAAATGACTGCAGGTCCCGTGTTTGGAAATATGGACAACTTCACCGGCTTGGGTGTCTTTGTGGACACGTATCCCAACGAGGAGAAACACTTAGAGGTATGCTGCAGTATCTCATCAAGATCTCAGCTTACACCAGAGGGCGTCAGAAAAATTCCTACCACTGCAGGGGTGCTCTTGGAATTTATTTTTTTAAAGGGGGTCTTATTTGTGTTCTTTTGTGCAACCTTTGGAGAAAGGCACAGAAGAAGAGATACACTCCTCGCACGCAGGTAACATGGACGTCGTTTTAACCTCATTACCCAGCCTACAGCATGGTCTCTATATTTCCCCTTTGTCTGCATGGTTTGCTGTGTGTTTTACTCACTCTTGTTTTCTCTGGCCTGGACATGGTGCCAGTTGGATCTGCTTTTTGGTCAAGGTTTTTTCTTATTTTTTCTTTATTTTTTACAAAGAAATGTGGAAGCTCTGTAAACTATCCATAAAAACAGAATGCTCATTTGAAAACTGTTGAAAACAAGAATGGTGGTATTTCCAAATTCTGTTATTCCATTTTAGATGCGGGCACACCTGCAGACACAGTTTACACTGCATTCTGTTCTTATACCAGTTTAAAAACCATTGCAGTGTTTTTTTGGGGTGGGAGACTTATTATTCAGACCACATGAGCAACGCTAATGCTCCAAACTGGCATGCAAGAGAAAGTCCTCCCTCCATTTGCATGGTCCGGGGGGGTGATGTTTTTCTAGACCACAAAAAAACAAAGACACGCCTTTAAATCGAACTGCCCTCCTCATGTCCGTCTCCTCTCCTGCTGTGACCAGAGGATCTTCCCCTTCGTGCTGGCCATGGTGGGGAACGGCACCATCAGCTACGATCACGAGCGGGACGGGCGGCCCACAGAGCTGGGCGGCTGCAACGCCATGGTGCGCAACCTCAAGCACGACACCTTCCTCTTCATCCGATACGTCCGGCGCAGGCTCACGGTGAGAGACGCAGGGGGCCGGGCCGAGGGCCCCGGCCGCGAGGCGTTCAGGGTCCTCTTTTGGATCCAAGTGTAATTTTGTTGGCTTCCTCTGTTGAGCAGGTGATGATAGACATAGACGGCCAGCACGAGTGGAGGGACTGCCTGGACATACCGGGGGTGCGGCTGCCGCAGGGCTATTATTTTGGAGCGACAGCCGTCACCGGAGATCTCTCAGGTAAAAAAAAACAACAAATGGGCGGAAAATTTGAATGTAACTTTTCTCCCATTCAACATGGGAGACGTGTGTCTGTGTCTGGACTACTTTTAAACAGCTTTAAAAGATATTATTCCAACACTTCCCAGTTTAGACAAATGACACCCACCCCTCAAGGTGGCGGCCTCGGAATAAAGCTGGGAGGGAAATGCTCAGCCAAGGTTTTCATTGGGGAGGGTTTTTGAAAGAGATACACATACAGGAATTATTTCAAGCAAAAGGAAAAAAACAGCTTGCGGTAGCGTTTTCGTTTCTTCATAGTCCTGCGTGTTGGTACTTGAGGAACTTTGGCTGGTACATTTTCTCGGGCTGAATTTAATTGGCTACGAACAACAGTTTATTTTAGACTCTGTGCGGGATCCAGTGGGTTCACAGCCAACGTCCCGGTGCCAGACAGCATATGACACCCCGTCCCAGCGCTCCGGGGCGCAGGCCTCCGCAGGCCCGGCCTGTTTTGGCACCACGAGTGGGGACTCGCACACAATTTACGGCCCAGTGGTTTTGATATTGTGTCTGGCCTGTGTCATTTATCAAATGGGGAGCTGTGGTCCATGACTCCTGATAAATCTTTCTCTTGACTCGCTTCTTCTAACCTCCTGTTTTCCCATGGACAGATAACCACGATGTCGTTTCCCTGAAGCTCTACCAACTGACGGTGTTTAGGAGTCAAAAGGAGGAGGAGGAGGAAGAGGAGGATGTAATAACCATACCCAGTGTAGATAACATGGAACTCCTCAGATGTAAGACCCCCCCCCCCCCCTCGACCCCCCCCCCCCCCGAACTTCTACCCGCTCCCATTCCCCTGCTTGTTGTCCATCTTTCACTCTTGCCCCCCCCTCCTCCATTT